CTAGTGAGTTATGGTTATCCCCACAACTCTGTACTTTAGTAACTGTTTTTCTATTTGAGACCCAACTCTAAAGGCTAAACGACATAGAGATACAATTTAAGCCAACATCCTTACATGCAATTCAAATTTAATTCTGACTGAAACATTTCAGCAGTATAAATCTATAAACAGGAGCAAGGAGCTCCATGGATAGCCATGTGGGCCTGTGGCTCTAGGAGAGGATTTTTTTTCTTTTTCTTTTTCTTTCTTTCTTTTTTTTCCCCCCCCTCTCTTTGGGAAACTCATTTCCTAGAAGCTTGGATCCAGGAGAGAATATGCAAGGTGGGTGGAGGTGGCTTGTCTCCATTCTGTGGGAACACATGTTCCCTGGCACGGAGAGCAAAATCTGACAGACCAAAATGTGAGCGTGTATGTGCGCGCGCGCGCACAAATCCATATACATGGAGCTGAAAATAAAAGTCATCTATTTCCTCTCAAAAAAGATTATTTCAAAAGAAAAGGAAATATGTATTATTAGTAATAAGAATGTAAGTACAATTAAGAAGCCCACGCTGTCTTTGTGCGTGCGCCCTTACGTGCACATGTGTTGGAAGTGTTAGCCTTTGACGTTCCAGGCTGTGGGGGCTATGAAACTGGAGGGGAGGTAGAAATGGCCAAAGAGATGAAGCTAAGATGTATCACGAGGGCAGGATTAGATTAAACATAAAATTATCATGACAAGTGAAATTAGACTTATTTGCAGACCCTGTAAGCACTACCTCTCAGGAGACCGGGATCTGTTGGTGCTCTTCTTTCGCAGTGCGCACAGGGGCCCTTTGCTCTGACTGCTTCCTGCTGTAATGCAAAACCACTTTCCAGCAAAGAGAACGTACGACAGCCCGAAGGTTAAGAAAAGAGAAATATTCTGTGCACTAGGAAATGCATGGAGGCTGAAAATAGGAGGAATACTACCTAGCAGGGATATAAGTAAGAACTAATTTGTATCTTAACTAATGAAGCTTAGCTCTTAGGTTGGGGGGAAAAAAAAAACCGTTTCAACCAGTTGCTATAATAGCATTTTCCAGCAGAGGGCATACTTTACATTGAAATAGATTTTTAAAAGAAAACCAAGAGGTTTTCATTTGAAATTTTTTTAACTTCAGTATTTTTGGTTTCTAAATGGTTTAGAAATATTTTAAAGTATTTAAAGTGCAGAGAATGTTAAATATTAAATTCTCAGTCCAGTTAATATTTTTGCCTTATTAGTAAAATATTCAAGTTGTGATTGCAAAATGAGGCAGTTTTTCCATGACTTATTGACTGATCTTAGATGCTATCATTGAAAGCAGAACTGTTTTTGGAGGGTTGTTTACAAAATTATTACAGAAAATTCTATCTTTAACTGAATGAGTATCATTTTTCCTTCATTCCAATAGAGCTGATATGAATAACTGCTTTTCTTTACAGAAGTAACCAGCATTTTCTAATCTGTTTCATAACTAGCTTTGATATTTTCCCTCTAGGAAATAACACCTATATAAAAGTTAACTAAACTTATTACATAATAAAACTACAATCTTCAAAGCCTCTTTAAGCAGCAACTTCACGATAATTTAAGATTTCCTTTCAAGATTCATTTCTTTGATCTAATAGAATCATTCTCACAATAAATGAAAAAGTAGTCGCTACTATCTATATTAGAAAACCTAAATAAAAAAGTTAAATTACTTATTAGCAGTGGCTGAGGATAGATCTGGGGACCAACCTGTCTGACTCCATAGCACATGTTCCTTTCACGGCAGCACTGAGTCTCCAATTGACCCTATCCTATCTGATCTATCTAAAAATCACAGATATATGAGTTTATTCATTAGGACAGAAATAAGTTCAAATTGACCCACCGCGAAAAGCATAAAGAGTGAAACAAGATATTCCTAAATAATCAATTGCAGGAATTCTTGGCTTATAAACTCAATAGGTTTGTTTAATTTGGGCATCATATAAGCACTTTTTGATCTGTTTTTTTGGGGGGATGTGTGTGTGCAACATGATTTTTAAAAAATGAATGCAGGGAGAAAATCTCTGCAGGAGACATTTTCGGTGTATGGGAGATACAATATATTTCCTTTTATTATTAAAGTTATTTCCTATAGAACTTTTATTTCTATGAAATCATAAAATATATATATCAAATGCATAAGAATTTGCTGCCTAGGAAACAAAATTATTTTTGTGTTGAGAAACTGAAGAATTATACATCCTTAAAATGACAAAGAAATAAACCTCTATATACTCACTTGCATTTTCATAATGATATCTAGCAGAATTATTGCAATTCATTTTGTCCAACAAAAATAGAAGTGTTTCTCTTTTTTGTGTGTGTAGAAAAAAAGTTTCAGTGTAAGTGTGGATGTTTTAAAAAAAGTGAAAATCTATGAATAAAATCTGAAATATAAGTAAAATAAAACAATCTCTTTTTTCCTTGCAAAAATAAGTTGTTTCAAGATTGATAGAAAATTTGACATTACAATGAAAATGTCTAGATGTTTTAAAACAAATACAACTTTATTTCACTTAAAAGTGTGGCCACAAGATTGTTTGCTTCTTTACAAGGCTTCACACAGATCATTAGCCATGCATGGTATTGGGTAAAAGGCATTGGAATATTGGGCACAGAATCTGTCCCATTCTAGCTGTGTGATTTGGATAAATGATTTAACCTCTCTGAGCTGTGGTTTCTCACCTATAAGTTTGAGGTGATAATGAGTATCTACCACATAGAATGTTGAGAGTTTAAAATATAATTTACATTACGTCTGCGAAAGCATTGAACTCAGTGTCTTCCTGACACATTGCAGATTTACTTGTTAAAAATATTCCAAATAACGAACTTAATTAATAACACCCTATTTTTAGTAGCAATTTTCTTTAATATTCACTAACTATTTATGCACATTGCATTAAATAGCTCCTCCAAATTGTACGTATGTTAGAATAAAGCTTGAGGAAAATCTTGACTTTACATGTACATGGAGCAGGTTTAGGATTATGGTTTAAATGCTTGTGATTAGAAAATAAAATGGAAATTAAATATAATTTCCATTTGCATTACGTTTAGTTGGAAACTTAAAGGTACAGTGTTAGATTTCAGATAATATTTGTTAGTATTGCTCAGTATTTTGGATATTGTCTTCAGTTCTCAGTACCATGTTTAAAACATCAAATGAAAAGCACGTCAAAATTTACCTTTTTGCCTCAAAAATCTTGGTCTATATTTATAGATCTAGAATTATCCTTGCAATGACATTTTCTCCATCTCATTTTACACCTTGCCTTTTCCTTACAAATCATATTCTTTTTCCATCAGTACATCTGCCCGAAACACTCTTATACTTGACAGTTCTATCCCACACTCGCCTCTGAGCTTCTAACAAGGCATACCTCTGGGGATTGCAAAGTGCCACATTTAAAATCTCTCAGTGAGATGTATAGGTTTTCCCGTGTGATCATCAGGGATTCCTCAAATCTGAGTTTTAGAGCTAATCTACAACAACTGATGAGCACAGTATTTTCACATTAGTATATTTATGTTGTGCTAATGTGCTTAAACAGTATGTGTGTCCATTGAGAATTTTTCTACAAATTTCTATTAGCTTTCTTTTAACTTTTATCTTATATATTTGGCTGGCATTGGCTGTAATTCCATATTTTCTAAGCTAAATAGGCTTATCCAGATTGGAAGGGCAATGTCATAGATTTCACAGATGCTCACTGGAATACTAGTAGGCAATAAAAAGGAAAAAGTTACTGATATAAACAACAACATTTCGAATGGCTCATGCTAAGTTAGAAAGCCAAACGTAAAGGCTGCCTATTGCATAAATCCATTTATATGACATTCTGGAAAAGACACAGGTATAGGGACGGAAACCAAGTCAGTGACTGCTGGGAACTGACTACAAAGGGGCTTGAGGAGACTTATGAGGTGACGAGAAAATCTTGACTGTGATGGTGATGACGAGACTATACATTTGTCAGGCTCATTGAACTATACACCTAAAAAGAGTCATTTTTACATTGTGTTAATTATATCTCAATACACCTGACTTTATAACTGGTTAAAGCAAGAGAAGACACCTGTAGTTTTAAGGAGTTGTATATTGTCTATTTTCAGGGAAATTTTATTGATAACATAGTGTGTGTCTGTTTTTCACCCATTTCAATTTCCAGCCCTAAATATGTGACAACCAGACTAGTTTTAAATAGATAAAGCCTACTTTAATATAATGTATTTAATGCATTTGACAACATTAGTGTGAAATAATAGTTATCTAATAAGTATTATGAAATGTTATTAATTGTAAGATTATTAAATGAAGGTTGTGCCTTTGCCACTCACATTAATTGTAACTCTTTAATAGAAGCTTAGTGTAATTAGAGTAAAGAAACAAAATAATTTCCAACCTCGCATAAGCTTCTAGTAAACTGCAGTGCCAGGCTTTAATGATAATCTTTCTGAGCAAATTCATTTTGATGTTTTAAAGTTATGTTTATTACTGAGCTGCTCTTTTCAAAACTAATCGTTAAATCCATGTACTTTATTAATTTTTTACTTTATTAATTCCCTACCATTTTATGTGACAATAACTCAGTGGCTCCTATATAATATTGTTTGTTTTAATGATATTGTCAAGCCTACATCTTCTGTTTTTGGACAAAATTTACATGTGGGGGGGTGACAAAAGTCATAAATTCTTACAAATTTGCATTAGCTCTCATACTGGACGTATGGTACTTTAGGTAAGTATATGTATTTGATTCACTGCTCGGCAGCTTCTCATCCACAGTGGAGGTTTTAAATGTAGCTTGCCAGAAACTCTTACCTTTTATTCATAACTGTCTGGGTGTGCCTTCCCTTCTTGCATTGAACTGTATGTACTGTGTTCTGTAGAGGTGTGCAGTTAAAATACGTTTATTCTCAGAAATATTTTTAAAATATTTTAAAATGTTTTCCTTTGCAGAATCAGACACAAGTTTGGCAGAAGGAAGTGTCAGCTGCTTAGATGAAAGTCTTGGACATAACAGCAACATGGGCAGTGATTCAGGCACCATGGGAAGTGATTCAGGTACTGCCTAACTGTTGTGTAAACCTTAAAAAGTGTGAAGTAAGACACCATATAGTGGAAAGCACGGGGCTGTTCATGCCCTCCCTAATGTATTTATGCAATTAAACCAATTCTTCTACAGTGGAAGTAGTTTTGGAACTTTGCCATTCACTTCTTTTTAAAGTACAACTTAACAAAAGTATTAGAATCAAGCTCTTTAATTTTGATCCACTACATAGCTTTTTGGTCTGTCATATGACACATTCCATAGAATTATTTCATCTATTTTGTTTATGAGCTCTGTTTTGATTAATTTGAGCGTTTTTAATTCTGTACCCAACTTAGCATATTTTTTCCAAACCCAAATTTTTTATTCAAATAAACTTTAAATAAAAATTTAATTCTATCAATAAGATGAGTCTGACTCTGTAGATAACTGCAGATGACAAGAGTCTCTCTTTAAATGAAAAACTAGAAATTACATGTACAGTTAAAGAGTTTCAATTTGTATAAATATCTCTTACGTAGGAGTAGAGTTTACAAATATTTTTGTCACTAAATGAGACAAAACATTTTTACTAGATATTTTCCAAATGGCTCTCTATATTAGTTGACCATCCCACCAGCAATAAATCAGAATGCCTCCCCACACTTGAGCAATCTTCCTGTTACCAGATTTCTTAACTTTTGTCAGTTTGCTTGATTTCAAATCCCTTCTTTCTGTTTGTTGAATGTGCATTTCCATTATTATTACTGAGCTAAAATGTTAACGTTTTAAGATGGCCGATTGGTCCTTGGACGTCTTTACACACTTTTTTGTATTTGTCTGTATGTTTGAAATATTTTATAATTAAAATGAACAACAAAAAATGCTTTTCAATGTTGCCAGCTAAGAAGCAGTAGAAAACTTTCAAATTAAGAAAGAAATTATTTTATTCTTTATTTGTTGTCATTGAGTTTCATAAAAACATTTAGAAAATATTGTGTACTTCAGATTATCTTGCATTCTTAGAACTATAGAAATTTAAATCTACAAAAGGTCTAAGTGTCAAAATGATTTACATAAAGATCCTCATCTGCCTTAAAAGCTTTACAAATTGGAGTATATCATCTCTTATTTAAATATCCTTTTTCTCAATAACACCCATGAATCCCTTAGAACAAGTTGGTTTGTGAAAACACAATTCACCAAATGTCGGTTATAACTTTAACTTTAATTAAAAAGAGTTAAATCATTTTCTGTTCAATTCAGTGTTTATTAAGTTCTTGCCATGGCTTATTTCTGTGAATTATATTTATTCTATGCTTCTTATATAATTGTTTATTTTAATTATTAAGTTTTTATTAAATGCTATTGATGCTAGAACTCAAAATGTACTCTAGCTAATATTTAACATTTTTATGGGTTGTTTTAAGCTTCTGGACTTTACTTATCCAAAGTTTGATTTGTCTGTGTAAGGGCTTTTCAACAATATTCATTCATTCAGTAAATATTTACTGGCTATCCTCTATGTGCAGGGCATTTTGTCTAGTTAGAGCTGTTAGCAAATGTAACCATTTACTGATTTTCAGTCCTCAATGTGGCATGAAAGACGTGATAAATCTAAGTGCAACCTATTTTTAAAAAGCAAATACATTTTCAAAGGCAAATACATTTGAAGACAAACACATTTTCAAAGGCTACCCACTGACATTTTTAGATGGGGTCAGTGCCTAGGGAAAAGAATTGTTTTGCATAGTGGATAGTAAAATTCTGAAATAATAAAATTATGAAATTCCTTTCTCTTAGGTGCATGACATAGGATGAAATAGAAATCAATTCAAAAAAAGGTTTAGATGAATTGCAAATTGTTAAACGCATATGGAATCACTGAAAAGTATGACAATGTTACAATGTTTGGGATTGTATTTGAACCTTTGAGGCTGACATCAAAAGGACATTATTCTACATGTCCTTTGTCCACCTTCAAAGGTTACATAATGAGCCATAAGGTTACATATGACCTAATGCCATAACATATGTTCCTTTGTGGAAGTATTACACCATAGTAAAAGATAGTGATGATTTTTAAGTTTATTCTAATTATACTATGGAAGGCTTTTTTTTGTTTTCTGTTTCTCATTTTGAGAGCAATATACTGCTTCTCACAAAGTAGCAATTCTTTTGGCAATACACGTTGGCCTGATATATAGAAAGTGTTTCCTTACTATTTCAAGGTAATATCTATTAATATTTGTCCAGCTGAAATAGCGTATTTTTTTCTGTGGTTACATACTATAGGTAAAGGAATACTTTTTCAATTTCAAACACATGCAGTGACAGACCTTTTCTCTCCAAGAATAACTCAGCTGTCAAAATCAATGTGAGAATGAAATTTGCCACATGGTGTAGTTCCAATAGAATGTTATTATTTAAACCCTATTTGATTTCATTTTTTGACCATTTGTATGGTATAGTATAATTTTAAGGTCTTCAATCAATATTGGTTGTAGAGAAATGGCACGCTGTTATTCAAAGCCTGTGCATATTTAAAATACCATTTTTATTATTGCATGTAATTGATTTTACTTTTCTAAGAGAGCCAAAAAGAAACAAAAAACAAACAAACAAAACCCAAACAGTTTTTATAAGGGAATTGGCTCCTGGCTTATTGACATCAGTCCAGTTCTCTCCTTCTGGTGACAGAGAAGAGGAAATTCTCTTTTCGTTGCTTATGTGTCTAAATTCCCCTATCCCTATGTCAGAAGATGTGATAAGGCAAGAACCAGGCTGAATATTTAGCACTCATTCAGCTCTTTTTCTCTGGATGCTTATTCTCACAATGAATCCAATTCTAATTTTTTCCATATTCACTCTGTTTCTCTTTAAAACTTGGGATCGCCCATCAAATTTCCTATACTGATACAAAAGCAAGGAATATTATTGAGCTATCTATCTAATAGCCATATATTTTTAGTGGTAGCAGTATAGTGCCCTAGACTATGAAGTTCTTGGGGACAGGACTGTATTTTTGAGAGTGCATGGATATAATAAGCACCCAGTAAATAGTTACTGCAGAATAAATTGATGGTACATGACTAGTTAAGTGGCAATGAAATGTCATGACTTTGATTCTAGAACTAAATTTGAACACAATAATCCTTTCAACATTCTAAACCTTCTTAAATTTATTAGTGCAATAAATATCAAATGTGCATAAGTTATATCGATGTTCTACACACCTGACTTAATTTTAGATTTCTTGGGAAAGAGACTTCGAAAACTTCTCTAAGTTTCTCTTTTTAATTTTTGTAACCTAAGGATATAATAATAATCATGAAAAATGAAAAGGAAAATAACGATATAAAAATGTACATGTAGCAATTATGAGGGAAGCAGAACTTTATTATTATTTTTAAATCTATGTAAAAATGTACCTAGAGGGAAATTAAAGAGAATTTGCTAATATCTTTTAAACAATTTCCTAGACCAAATAGCAATTTAGCAAAAGTAAATTCCTGGATTTTGGTGTTAAATGTAATTTAAAATACATCTTTCTTTGCAAACATTATGGCTTTTCAGAAAAAGTTATGTGATAAATGCTTGAAATATAAGCGGAATAATAGGATTTTGATCATATATGAAAGCCACTTAACAGAGAAGTAATGATATTCTTAAATAAATTTGAACCTTCCATAAATGTAATAGAAGGTGAATTATTATATTGCTGTAGATTTCAAAACAAGCATGAAAAGAAACCTTGTAAATTTATATTTTTAAATCCTGGTGATCTTGAATGAGTTTTTCCTGAAAATCACATTAAATGGATCAGCAGATGATTTAATGATAACTTAAATGTTTTGTATCTGTGTTTACTCATCCATACAGAAGGCAAATTTCCTGTCAGTTTAGTAGATGACTCTTAGTAAGTGGTATTTGGTGTGAATTTTCCTACCTGTTCAGATTGTACTATCACAAGTTTAAAACCAGTTAAACAGAATCATCCTTTTGCTGAAATGGAACCATCAGCAACTTTTTTGAAGTTAATGGTATTATGTTAGTTTAGTTTTATTGCAATCGTTGATAAGAGAAAGAACACTTACTTCATGTGTAATGAAATACTGATAAGTGCTGTCATTTCATCTTTTCTTATGATTACGGAAAGCATAAGATAGGCCTTTAAATTGATATAATATTTATTTTACTGCATTCCACATGATCAGTTATATGTTTTCAGATCTTTTCAACCTGGGTAATATAAATAATATGGTCACATCTAAACAAAATATATTTAAACTAAGATATGTTATGATGATTTTATTCTAATATTTATAAAATTAATGTATTTTAAATTTAGAAATCTAGATTAATTGGAAATATTTTTAATATATTGTGCTTTGATTTTCAGGAAAATATGAATACATGGGGATATTCATATAAGGAAATGATAAAGATCACAATTCAAAATTAAATGGCAAAATTAGTCACAAGTTTAAACCAACAAAATTATTTTTTATCTTTCAATGAAAACATAGAAATTAAAAAGACTTGTATGGGAGGAGTTCTTCCCCTTCTCCATAAATATTGGTTATATTTAATCTGGTTGGTTCATATGCCAAAAATGGAAATTTTTTTGGTGACTTTTAAATATTTGAGGTAGATAAGATAGATACAGATAAGTAGGTAGATGATAGATAGATAATAGGGAGAGAGAGAGAGAGAGAGAGAGAGAGAGAGAGAGAGATGCATCCATATTTTTGGTATTTGGTTGTCGGACAAAGTTTTTTAAATGAAGGAAAGTAGCATCAGCTAATAAAAAGTAAGGGGAAATGTATAACCCCTTGGTTTCTACTTACCCAGTTCCTCTTGATTTGCAGACGGAAGGGCTAAGAGAAACATGTAGGGAATAATGGCTCAACAAAGAAATGGAAAGTCTGATGCATTAAGAACCATAACCGTCAATCTTGCACCACAGCCTTTTTTGCAATTTCCCCTTGGCTTTGCCTCTTCTGTCGCCCCATTCCAGTCTTATATCCTGTTAATTCACACCCTCTGCACCTCCACCTCCCAGGCCATTTCCATGAGTGCCTGGATTGCATTCTGCAAATACCAACAGAGAGCTGACACTCATTGAGTGCAGAAAATAAAAAAAATGGATTGGTTTGGACCATACATGAAAAGGAATTTCAATCACAGAGGCCTATGTTTGGTTTGAGGCTTCCTAGCCTTAGTTATTTTGTTGCCCATTCTCTTATTTTATTTTCTCTTATCTTCCATCATTTTAACTTCCTTCAGACGAAGAGGAAGTGGCAAAAAGAGCATCCCCTGAGCCAGAACTGAACCTCAGGCCTTACCAAATGGAAGTTGCCCAACCAGCCTTGGAGGGAAAGAATGTCATTATATGCCTCCCTACAGGGAGTGGGAAAACCAGAGTAGCCGTTAAGATTGCCAAGGATCACTTGGACAAGAAGAAAAGAGCATCTGAACCAGGAAAAGTTATAGTCCTTGTCAATAAGGTATTTAAACGACACATAATATAACATTGTCTATTTTCATTTTATTATTTTGAAGCATTTGTATAGTGACATTTGTAACAAAAGATCACACCGATATAGTTTAATTGGGAAAAATGTCAAAGTAAGTATTTTATTTTAAATCTCTGTTTTTCTAGTTATATGTAATATCAAAGTTATTAGTCTTTAAAGTGGAATTTTTCTATAAAACCAAAACATTAAATCAAATGTAACTGATATAGAAGGAGTATATTTACCCAGATATTTTAACTAATTTAAGTTATCACTGCATGTGAACATAAATGACCTCAAAATGTCACTGGAATCTAGGATCAAATATTGTCTTCTAGAATCATTTAACTGTTGGCTCTTTGTCAGAGGTGGCAAGTGCTCTTTATCCAGAATATATATAATTTGGTTTGAAGATAAAAAGAAAATTAAGTAAATATTTAGCAGATTTGTATCAAGTTAAATAGATAATTTTCAAAGATTTATATATATGTAATTTTATATATATAAAATTATATGTATATCATTTAAATGCAACTGAGGTTTTCCTTATTTCATATATTGAGATATTTCAAGCGATCTTCATATACAGGTATAAGTCTTTCATTTTAAACAAAATCTAGTGATTTGAGCTTTATTCAGATAAATGACAGTTCAATTTATAAACTTGTAAATCAAGGATATTAATATTTACCATTTTATGGAGTAAAACTAAATATACTTTTTCTATGACTAGAAAGTCTTTTTCCCCATATTATCATATTACTTATGATAACTAGATTCTCAGTTATATCATTACAGAAAATATAATAATAGACTATTAACTTTCCTGTATATTTTGAGTTTCTATTATGATAAGAGTTTTAGTTGCAACCTACTTTTCAGTACTAAAGAAACACACTCGGAATCCATGATCTGAATGATTTCTATCATGTAGTTCCAAATGCATTCTGTGTGTATATGCTAAGCCCAAAGACCTCTCCTTTGTGCTTGTATGCTCATTATTAGATGTTTTATTTCTTTTGTGGTAATGGTGATACATTAAAATTTTTGTCCATAGCTTTTCATATATTTCCTTTATTAAAGATATTATCTTTTGGAATACAGTAAATCTAGGTGTGAATACTACTACCTACCAGTAGTTTGACCCTAGACAAATTACTTACTTTTCAGTTTAGTTTCCTCATCTATAAAATGAATAAAATAATACTACCCTGTGCAGTTGTTCAGAAGTTTAAATTAGATAATCTATCTAAAACCTAGGAATGACTCAGTGTATACTAATTCTTCCTCCTACTCCTTTCTTCTCACCTTTATAACTAATGAAATAGATTCCTTAACCAGTCAGCAGGGTTTTAAATGTCACTCAAAAAAAAAACAACAAACAAAATTAACTAGATTTGAGAACATGTAAACTGTTGTTCTTAATACTGTTTGATCATTCTCCTATTTCTTTAAACTCATTCTCATCATCTACCCTCCCAAAGAACTCTTCTTCCCTACATATATATCTCTCTGTTATGCCACCTCCTCTAAAACATATAGCCTCAAAACCGAGGCACTATTCTTGATATACCTGCTTCCTTTACTTCCTTTATCAGGTCACAGCATCGTAGACTAAGAGAGTTGAAAAAGGCCTTTAAGATCCAGCTTTTATCCATTGCCAAGTGACTCTCTAGCCTCTGCCTGAATAATTTCTAATGTCAAGGAGATCTTCCTTCTAACAAGACAGTTCGATCCATTTTTTGAACAACTGACACTGTTTGAAAGCCTTATATGTATTCATCAAAATCTGTTTCTCTGGGATCCACATTCATTGGTTAGAGTTCTTTCCTTTGCAAATATATAGAGTAAGTTAAGTTTTAATCATCTGGTCTGATTACAGCCCTTCACATGGAGAAGGCAGCAAGTATCATGTAGCTCCTAAGTTATTTTTCTTTTCTTTTTGTTCCCTGGGATATCTCCAGGCCATTTTTTAAAAAAATAATTCTTCGTAAAACATGGTTTTCAAACTTTTCATTATCCTGAGTGCTCATACTCATACCTTTATCTCATACCCTCTTAAAAACAGTGTCCAGAGTTAGACAAAATACTGTAAATATAGTCTTATCAGTGCAGAGTTTAGGAGAAGTGAGATGTGGCATTTAACCCATGACTTGGCTTGTCTCTCTCATCAGTACTCTCATCCACAGACTCATCTGGAGCTTGCTGGAACCTAATGAGACTAAATTCTTTTCATTTGAAAATTTGTTATTTTTGTGCAATTAATTTTTGAGCCTAAATATAATTACTTATGTTTATTTCTTCATACCATTCATGTTGATTGATCATTTCAGGTGTCAAGTTTTTGTATGCATCTAGTATGCTTTCCTTTTTTTAATAATTACTTGTCCTCTCAGTACTATATTCTAGTCACTAATCTCTCATTCCATTGGATCCAGGTGATCGTTATGAATCCAAATGTGCAGCCATGTTTAAATGTTAAATTATCCTCATCGTTGTATTAATTGCATTGTTATGTAGACATTTAAGGACATGGGTCTAATTCCTGATCTGTTTCCCTATTGTTTTTCCCTAAGAAACATTAAAAGTCCTTTCACTAGTTCTTCAATCTATGTCATAAATTTTTGCTTTATTATCCCATTTCTTTGAATTTTCAAGTAATTTCAGCTTTAATTCTTTTTGATTGAGTCAGGAAATCTCTGACCCAGTAAGGAAGCATAACCTGTATTCTGTATTTGGCTCAATAGCAAGGTATTATAATCTTTGATCTCGAAGGAATCAATTCTGTTCCTTAATACCATTTACTTTCATCTCCCTTTCTCCATTCTTTCCAAAGTTATCGCCTTCAAATACAGGGAGAAATGAAAACACCACCTGTGTTCCCAGACTTTCTATTTCCTATCTAGGGCTTCAACATCATGAGAGATAAATCCCAGGTTCCTTCAGATGCTATGATGCAGCCCCATATGATTCAGCAGAAGTGGGTAGCAGTTGGGTTTGATTAGTCTTGGCAGGCGCTCTGTCACATCTCAGGAAAAGGATCCAGGAGGACCACACACCTCCCAATTAGCCATGTCAGACTAGCATCTGGCTTTTTCTCTGTCCTTCAGTAGGAAGTCAATGCCACCCAGAGTGAGTATCAGGATTTCCAACACCTGCTACCTCTCATGACAACTTTTTTTGTTCTGTAGACAAGAAGACACTGCTTCTTTGAAAGGTCTTGACTCACCTTTTATGGGCAGAACATCAGGTTCCTATGTCACTCAATGGTATAAAGATTCTTAAATCATTCGGTAGCATGAGGGTATTTAAAGACAAATGAAATGCAGATCCTGTCCTCAAGGAATCTATAGTCTAGATGTGTATTAATAATATAATAATACTGTGTTACACTTTACATTATCTTGTTAAAATCATGTAGCTACTCTTTGAAGTAACTGTAATTAACCCCATTTTACCCATCAGAAAACTGAAGCTCTAAGGCTTTAGTTAGCCTGTCAGGGATCATCCAACAAATAATCAGTAGAACTGAGACTTGAACCCTTTTCTTCTGAAGTCAACTTGTCTCTTTCCACCATACTCACTGCTAGAATAAAAGAATGGGGGAAATATTAAGGAAGTGTTCTGAGTACTGGCAATATGTCAGTCTCTATTTCATTTAATTTCACAACAACCCCACCACAGGTTAACATTATCCTCACTTAATGTAGAAATGGAGATGAATGAAATGATTAACTTGTCCAAGGTCACACAATAAGCAAGTAACTGGAGTAGTTGTCTTCAGAGCCAACTTTCGGGATCATGCTGTTTCTTTCCACTAAGTTTAATTTTAATTCTTTTCCTCAGAATACTTTTTTCTTAGTTTATCACCTCTGTCTTCTGTAAGTGGAATGAAAAAAATACAGTTGACCCTTGAAGAACATGGGATTGAACTATATGGGTACACTTATACACAGATTTTTTTTTTTTCAGTAAATACCATAAAGTTATTTTCTCTTCCTTATGATTTTCTTAAAAACATTTTCTTTTCTCTACCTTACTTTATTGTAAGGATATAGTATATAATACATATAACATAGAATATATGTGTTAATTCACTGCTTATGTTATCAATAAGGCTTCTGGTCAACATTAGACTATTAGTAGTTAAGTTTTGGAGGAGTCAAAACTTAAATGTGGATTTTTTATTGTGTGGGAGATTCAGCTCCCCTAATCTCGCCTTATTCAAGGGTCGACTCTAGTTCTCGAAAAATGAAAGAGAAATGATTTTGTGGAAAAAAGAGAAGAGATGTGGTTTTCAAATTTCAAAGACTTAGATGTCACATTAGAAGCTTCATAAAAATGCAGCTTTCAAGATGGTCTCCAGGGATCGTCCCTAGATTCAGTAGTTTTTGTGTGGGGCACAGGAGTTTGCATTTTTCAAATCTCCCAAGTGATTTTTGTGGCAAGTAGACTAGAGAATTAACTTTGGGGGTGGGAGGGCACTAACTGAAAGTTTCTCTTTCTACTCTATATACCCTGTGTTATGATTTTCCACTTACCAAACTCAATTCTTGATTTTAAGTCCACTTTGCTCCTTTGGAATTCATAGATTCCCTTTCATCCCTCTCTGCTCCACATTTCACTCTTAGAGGCTTTCATCATTTCCACTAAATGAAAATACAAAGCAGTTTTCTTCATACACCATTCTCCCCAACCTGTGGAATCAGCCAGCCTTTATTTTGCATATAAGTGGGGCTCACCTCAAGTAAACAAATGAATGACACATGTTTTGCAAAGCGGTGGAAAGATAACCACTGATCACTGGTAATTACATTACGAGAATATAATGCATTTGATGCTTGCTCTTGAAATTCTTCCTGCCACCTCTATTTGCTGCACTGTACAGCCTGGGGCTTCCATTGTATAGATTCTCCTAGGATGACCTTCAAGATGGCCTGATTATTTTTTTCCCCTAATGAAAGAAGTATTCTAAATTACCGGTAATATATAGCATTGAGGAATCAATTCAGCCACCTTCAGCAGACGCTACAACATACAGAAAGTCAGCTAAGAGAACTCTTTTTTCTTTTTTTTTTTGCTAAAATGCAACAAAACCTTTATTATGAATAGGTTCAGCTATCGCTGAAACTAGTCATTTCTAAGTTTAACTGAGGCAAGCAACTAGAGTGCAGAGTAATGCTATCACTGGGCACTGTGAATGCAAGATTGAAGAATTAACAGCCACCCCTCAGACAGAAGACTAGGTGCAGAGTTGGCTGTTTCTGGATGTTGTAGTCTTAAAGAGTGAGGCCATCTTCCAGCTGCTCTTCTGCAAAGACGAGCCTGTCCTGGCCAGGGTGGGGGATGCCTTCTTTATCCTAATTGTGGCCCTCACATTATCCATGGTATCATTGGGTTACACCTCCAGGGTGATGGTCTTGCAGGTCAGGATCTTCATAAAGATTTGCATTTTGGCCTGTTAGTGAATGTGATGATACTGTGGACCAACAATCAGGTCAAGTCAACTCAATGCCAACACACTCTCACTCGACAATGCCAGTAACCAATGAAAGAGTTTCACCTCTTTTGCCAACTCTCTTTGTTGTTTTGTTCTTTCTTAGCCACCAAAACTATTTCAGCAATCCATTCCTTTACTTCACATCTGCTCTTCTTGGTTATGTCTTACCTTCTCACTTTTGGCTCCCAGCTCCCCCTCAGTCCTTTAGGCATATTGCCTCTCTGGCCTGACCCCAAAATAAATAGGAATAAATCAACCTAAATGTAACAAGGGTCCTGTAAACTGTTATACTAAATTTAAAATACTCTGCTTGGTGTTCACAGCTCTTTATAGCCTGGTCCTGCTCTACATATTCAAAATTTATTTCTTATCCAACCTTAGTTTTAATTTATCTCTTCACTGACCCATGGCTTACCAGATTAAAATTCCTTCTAAACCCTTCTTTTGAGCAGTCAGTTGCTTCTTCCTATTTGCTGTCACTTTATATGTGTTTCCATGGGACAATTATTACATGGTATTGTAGTAATTTGTTTTGTTTAGTCTGTATTTGTGTGGTCAGCTACACTGAGTTCCTGAAAGTTGTCAACCATATCTTGAACATCTTTGTGTTCTAGCCACAAGGTCTATACCTATTAGGCATTCAATAAGTGCTTTTTGACAGATGAATGAATGGAATGATGAATAGAGTTTTATGTATAATTAGCTGACAATGGAAACACCTCTGTTAATGCTTGACACATAGTAGGCCTTTGATCAATACTTCTTTCACTTTGGTGATGCTCTCCCTTTTATTATGTATTTATTTTTTTAATCTTTTGGCATTTTTAAAGGTACCATTAGTTGAACAGCTCTTCCGCAAAGAGTTTCAACCATTTTTGAAGAAATGGTATAATGTCATGGGATTAAGTGGTGATACTCAATTGAAAATATCATTTCCAAAAGTTGTCAAATCCCATGATGTTATTATCAGTACAGCTCAAATCCTTGAAAACTCCCTTTTAAACTCAGAAAAAGGAGAAGATGATGGTGTTCAGTTGTCAGGTGGGTTGAAGTGTTTATTTTTGAAAAAAAGAATTAGTGTTAATATTAATGATAGTAGTAAAGGCTGTATTTGTTAAATAATTTTTTTAAATGTTGATTTAAAAAGATTAACTTTGGTTTTTATTGTCTTTATTGCCTAAGTTTCATTAAAACCTTTTTATTTCCTTGGGGAAACAAACAAAAAATTTGAAAAGTTTTTATTAGATCACTGTTCTACATTAAAATATCATTATTATATCAATCACTGGACTTTCCAGTCACTTCTTAATTCTAGGTACTGACAATTTTGTTTTATATGCTAGTGTATCCTGTTCAATCTGCTTTCTCTACACAACAAAAACTATAATCCTTTTTATTTTATGGGGAATGGAAAGAAAAGGTAAAATAAAGGAAGGGAAATAAGTACATAAAACCCATTATAATTAAATGCAATATTAAAACATGACAAAATTATCCCTTTTTAAATAGCATAGTTTTCATTTGACATGATAAAAGTAAAATTTATCTACATAAAATTAAACATTATATTAAAGAACAAAAGTGTAATCTTGAGAGCTTTGGGGAATAAGCCTGGGTTTGAATTCCATCACACATTTTAAATCTATAAACTTTCAAAATTCATCTATTAAATGGAGACAATGTCTAACGGAAATAGTTTCATGATAAATATACATGAACTTTTGTATGTACAGGTGACTAGGATAGTTACATTTTCCTCTTAAAAAGTAAAAGAGGGCCGTACCCACATTCTGCCCAAGAAAAGACATCCTTAAGGCAGCTCAGTTTACTAGCTTAAAGGTACTTTTTTTTTTTACTCTACCTTGCTGATATAGACAAATGAATCATTTGCATTTTCTTTTAAGACTTTTCTCTCATCGTCATTGATGAATGCCACCACACCAATAAAGAAGCAGTCTATAATAACATCATGAGGCGTTATTTGAAACAGAAGTTGAGAAATAATAAGCTCAAGAAAGAAAATAAACCAGTAATTCCCTTACCTCAGATACTGGGATTAACAGCTTCACCAGGTGTTGGAGGCGCCAACAAGCAAGCCAAAGCTGAAGAACACATTTTAAAAGTAAGTCATTAACTTTATGTATTACAATAAAAGTCAAAGCTAAAAAAAAAAAAAAAAAAATGCCAGTGCTTACTTAGACATAAGGTCACGTCAGAGTGCTGTGGAGTTTATGACAGAAGGTATTCCATGATTATCAATTAAGTGAAATCTATTTGCGTTAGTAGTATATTCAGTCTTCTACAAAACTGTAATATGCATTAATAAATAATTGTGAAACAGAATAAATTATGAAAATATTGGAGAGCTGTTAGAATTAATGAAAAACTAGAGCAAATGAAATATCTTCTTTTAAATATCTACTCCTATTCCTAAACTTAGTGATCTAATTGATATCGAAATATGCATAAAACTATGGAAGTTTCCAATTTTCATCCTCATTCCACGAATTTCAAAATTGCATATTTTTTACTATGTGTTTTTTGTTCTGTGTGATTCTCAGATTCTGGGTAATTCAAATTAAATGGGTAAATGGGAATACGAGAACCTTTCATTAAAAATGTATTACTTGTCAACTGCCCCCAAATGGTAACAACACATAAAATACTTTTGTTGACCTCAAGTGTTAAATGAATTCGGAGTAACCCAAGAAAAGTGTTGGCATCAAGGCAATTGCATTTGTATTTTAGGTCCGTTACTTTAAGTTGAATTAAATGTAGCATAGACGGAGGTACAATTAGTATACCTCCATCTATGCTACACTTAATGTATAATTTATTACTGGGATTTAGGACAGCTTCCAATCTAGATCCAGGCACAGGCTTTGCAGTTTTGCACTATGCTCTTTTTGCATAGAAGAACATGGTATTATGATCCCTGGATGTCAAAATGACCTTTAAAATACTTCATGTAATAAGGTTTTCTCATAACCATTCTCTTCTAATATCTACAAGTTACTCTCTATGTCAGTTTTTCTAGCTAGAAAATAGAATTTAAGGAAGGAAAATAATTATACTTCTCCTCTGGAATTATCTACCAACTGATTTAGAAGCTCTTTTTACTCTATCAAGACAAATGTTATTGATTATTGGTTAACCAGATCCACAGTAAAGCAATACTAAAATGCTATATTTAGCAAGTAATATTACTTACTTCTTACATGAAAAAAAAATTTACATCGAATCAATTGAAAGAGAAAACTAATTATTTAAATAATTGAAAAGTGTCTCCTTTCCAGATATGTGCCAATCTCGATGCATTTACTATTAAAACTGTGAAAGAAAACATCGATCAACTCAAAGACCAAATAAAGGAGCCATGCAAAAAGTTTGCAATCGCAGATGACACCAGAGAAGTATGTGCTTAACATTTTATGTTTATTTGATTGGTGCTACCATACTTGATTGGAAGATGCAAAGACTGTTTTACATTGGCCATCTGAACAATATTATTTTAAATTTTTACCAAAGAAGTTACAGTTTTATACTTTTTTATTGAAATTAGGCCACTGCTGTGAATTCTCTTTCATCATTTTCTTAGTTTTCTAGTATATATGAAGAATAGATCAGTAATCGATTGTCTGCGTATGAGCCATGGAAGGTGAGGGTATAAATGCTGTATAGCTAAACTAGGGGGGTTATACTATAGTTTGTTTTATCCTTTTCTACTTTCTTGGAGAATTCTAGGACTGGTTTTCTGACATACCACAGAGCCATTTTGTTACTACCAGATTACAATCGACAATGATAATGAAAATCCTACCAAATTTGTATGTTTACTTTCTTAAAAAAACCGTGACTTGGTAAAGAAGTGATATATTTACTTTCATGGTGTTTTGAGATGAATATTTTCAGAAGATAAACACCAAAAGTCAGTTTGGACTTTATGACCAGTACATTATGTCAATACTTTATTTTTTTAAATTTATAAAGCATGCTAAGTTTTAGCCGTATGTCCTTGATAATAAATGTTATCATTGAAAATGTACCTCATAAGAATGTTAGGATTAAATAATATGAAATATGCATAATAGATAATATTTCATTTGAAATGTAGTAGACACTAAACCAACTTTAGTGACCATCCTTCATAATCATTTTTTTTAAATTCTGAAAGAGTACTCTCTTCTCCAGCTGAACTAGTACTTTTGACATATTTTATTTTCCCTCACTTTTTGTTACTTATTCAGTTTTATTTGATAAATTTAAATGTGTGTTCTACTTATAAGCATTAATAAAACGACATTCATAAAACATTTTTATTTATTTTTGGCAGAGAAGTGGGCTAGGATTAAGTCTCTGGGTGTGACTTAGGATATTTAAAAAAAAAAAATCTGCCATCTTGCTCTTTAACTTAACTTTTAGCATACTTTTTATTGAAATGTAACAAACGTACAGAAAAGCACAAATTCATAAGTGTACAATTGCTGAATTTTCATAAACTAAACACACCTATGTAACCAAAATCCAGATTAAGACACAGAACATTTCCAGTACCCCAGAAACTCCTCGTTCTCCCTTCCAGTCACTGTACTCCAAAGATAACAACTTCTATACTGACTTCTAACACCAAAGATGGATTTTGAATCTTCTATGAATGAAATCATATAGTATGCACTCTTCTGTGCATACTTTTGGCTTTTTTCAAAACTTTCTTGACTTTTTATTTTGGTAAAATGCTGAAACTAGTTCGTCAAAGAGAAATGTTTTTTAAATTAAATTGCAGGCTTTCTAAATAATTGTGACATTATTTTAATAAGTTTTTAAATTGCTATTGGTATTTAAAGTTTATATCATTCATTAATTTTCCTTTTGTAAAATTTTTAAATTGGAACTTCCAGAAGTGGTACATGGTGTTGGTATGGTTGTGTCTTAAGGGTAGAGACTCTTAAAAGCAAAACCGATAAAAAATAAATGTACAAAGAGATGATCAGAGATTAACTTATTACTTTGCCCAGACAAAGATTCTGAATGAAATTAATTTTAACATGGAAATTATTTTCACAAAGATAATGTTATTCCTTTAACAATATAAACATGTAAGAATACGTGTATAACATTTTTAGGATCCATTTAAAGACAAACTTCTGGAAATAATGACAAAGATTCAGACCTTTTGCCAAATGAATCCAATGCCTGATTTTGGAACTCAACCCTATGAACAATGGACCATTCAAATGGAAAAAAAAGGTAATTTGGGTTCTGACCTAACACTTGATTTATCCCATGTTTATGCCAAAATTTCAGATGACTATATCACATATTCCCAAGGAAACTGAAAACAGATGGAATTTCTGTGTTCTAAGTAGGACAAGGATAAACATATTCTAATTCCTTATCTAAGGAAAGAGGCACCAATTCATTCATTTTCTCTTTATCCAGTCTTTTGCTTATTGTATATTTAAAATATTAAATTAATATTAACAGCTTTATCTCCAAATGCAAACTCAACTAATATGTTTTCCATGCCATTTCTCTGATTCAGCATGGATCAGGTAAGTGTTCTTGCTGATGAAAAACTCAAACAGCAAGTCTATGAGTTGGAAAACTTGTCCCCTTTTAAAGTTTAAGACACCTTTAAGTCCTTACTTGCCCATTTCAAAACAAGGTGAAACCTATGTTAGAGTCAGTATTGTAAATGTATCCAGGTACACAGCACAACATGGAGGGGGTGTGTTTGATCATTATTTCACTCTACATAATATATTCTTTTGTAGCTGCAAGAGAAGGAAATCGCAAAGACCGTCTTTGTGCAGAACATTTGAGGAAGTACAATGAGGCTCTACAAATTAATGACACAATTCGAATGATTGATGCATATAATCACCTTGAAACTTTTTATAATGATGAAAAAGAAAAGAAGTTTGCAGTCCTAGAAGATGATAGTGATGATAGTGGTGATGATGGTGGTGATGGTGATGAAAATGAAGATAATGAAAAGAAACCTTTGAAATTGTATGAGACAGATAGATTTCTCATTAGTTTATTTTTTGGTAAGAATCGATGCATGATCTCATGAGTTTACCTCTTTCGTAATGAACCCCTGTCTCTCAAGAGCTCACCAAAAGATTCTCTTAAAATAATCTTTCATTTTGAAAGAAGAAATTCTACTCATATTGGGATTATTTCTAATTGATGTGACCAGATGAGCCATTATATGATCACAATCAATCATTTGGTCAGTTTTTTTTTTTTTGATCAAGATGACTACAATACATTTATTTATTAAACTAGCCTGATTGTTAGACATAAGAAAAAAATAAGTGTAGTTGAACTACACCTCAGTGCATCATTACATAAAATCTTCCACTGTAATTATTCACATATTTTATTAATTTAAACTAATTATTTCATAAAGATAACAAGAAAATATTGAAAAAGCTGGCTGAAAACCCAGAACATGAAAATGAAAAGCTGACCAAATTAAGAAACACCATAATGGAACAATATACAAGAACTGCGGAAGCAGCAAGGGGAATAATTTTCACAAAAACACGACAGAGTGCATACGCCCTTTCTCAGTGGATTACTGAAAATGAAAAATTTGCAGAAGTAGGAGTCAAAGCCCACCATCTGATTGGAGCTGGACACAGCAGTGAGTTCAAGCCCATGACACAGGTATAAACATCTTTTTGGATTTCTCTTGTGCTGTTATTATTACTCTTTACAAATTAATTAGAGTCTTTTTTTTCATCAATTCTCTCACCACCCTACAGATAATTTTATGGAATGAAGCACTTGTCCTTGAAGTAAATTGTGAGTTTAATAGCAATCTAATAATGGGTATTTGATAGGCTAAGCATTATCCTAGAAGTCATTTTTTCACATTCTTGATGGAACTTTCTAAAGTGAATTTCTTTTGCAAAAATGATTGACATTTAAACTTAGTAAGAAAATAAAAAACTTGTTACAATATAATTACTGTAATGAGTGGAAAGATCCAACCTTTACAAAAACGTGTGCATTACAATCAGAACTATGTAAAATGTTTGCACAAGATGAGATCTGTAAGGGAACTTGGAAAAATTAAGACATTTGATATATTAGAGATTTGGGATGAGAGATTTTCTTTTCTTTTTTTTAGATTTTATTGTTTTGTTTTGTTTTCATTTAATTGTATTACTTAACATCTGCACAGTAAGAAACAGGAGAGAAAAAAGGCGCTTGTAGACATTACAAGCATGGATGAAACAATGTGGCTTATTAGAATAAAATGTTCTTCTGAAGTCATATTGATCCTGAGTCTTTCTGGACAAGAGGACACCTCAATTCTATTATGGTGGTTGTCATTTGGTCCACTGCAGTAAATTAAATCTGTTTCAGTGTTTGCTTAAAATAAATAGTTCTTAAAATTGTCCACTATAACTCTCGATATACTCTCTACACGTACTTTTGTTGAAGTTGCCTCTTAAATTGATGCCAGAGAAAGCATTGTTTTTCATGAGTAAGGAGTTTGCTTCCTCCTCTGTGATGAGAGCTAGTTTACTTTAGACATTTTCCTTTTCGCCCTAGCTTTTAGGAAGCTCACAGGAAAAATCAAAGCTTAGTTTCACAGTTTCTGTGTTAATCCTTACAAGTAATACATCTATACTTTCACTTTTGTTCTTGTTTTCAAGTTTCTATTACATTAGCTTTAGTGTTATGACTTTGATTGTATGTGGCCTCAGTTCCTTTTTGAAAAAGGTGGAGGTACAAACGGAAAGTAAGTTTACAAGATACTTTTTATGCTATACCCTTTTCAGACTTGGGGGCTGCATGCCAAAATGTAGAATGAACCCCCTTCCTTACTCCCCACACCCTCACCTTGTAAATTGTGTTGGACTTACTGGGAGAGGAGTTAGACATCTACTTTATGTGATTTGAAGATGTGTCTGAAATTCTCTATATTAAAGTTACTCCTTTGAATTAAGGCACACACATCTTCTGTCGAAATCCAAGGACATGTAAGTTTTTATCAGCAGACATGAGCACAAGAGGGAGAAATTATTAGAGAAGACTGGAAAGGGAGGTTTCTATACGATTCCCCAGCAGTTAAGAGTCAAATAAAAGCATATGCTACTTTTGAGGAGAAAGGACGAGAATGGGAGAACACACTGTCAGTCTGATATGTTTGTTTTTGGTTAATGTATGAAGGCAAAAGGCAGTGTGAATGTGCACCAGAGGCCACCTGGACCAACAGCTATGGTGAGAGTAGTTATGAAAATAAAATTACTGGCCATCCTGGGCTAACTTTATGCTTACTCATTCCTCTGATTCAAGGGCGAGAGAACACATTTAATTTATTTTATTAACTTTCAAAATTCAGAGTTTTTTTATTTAAATATAGTTGTTTCAATCATGTTTTTAATAACTTATTTTTATTTTGTATCATCCCTTTTAACAGATAATATATTCACCTCTTTCAAAATTAATAAGGCATGCGGCCTGTCACCGCCCTCCAGTTTTCAAGCTCCCCTCCTCACAGGAAGCCAATGTATACAGTTTCTCACATGTCCTCCCAGGAATATTCAATGTCTCTTGCTTGAATGACTTTTACAGTGACCAGATGTATACAGTGTGTATTATCTCGGTGACTCAAAACTCAACAATTTTTACAAATATCACTGTATCTTATTCTCTGAATATTAAAGATTCTGAAGTTAATGCAGTGAAAAGCAAAGCCCACTTAAGTTTCTCATCTCCTCCTTTCTTCCTCCCAAGTTGCCTATCAATTTATTTCCTTGGCACAAATAATGGTCTTTCCACCTCCAGACCGGAGGATGGAAATATTTTTGTTATTGTGCGATAATCCCAGATTGGAAATCAAATGTTGTTCTCACCATTATGTCTTTGTTCAATGACAAAAACAGATGGCATCAAATTTGTGTATGATCTAATCCTTTGATTTACACTGACCAGTTGCAATTTATTATTCCTTCTCCTAATTAGAAGATTTTAATGTGTTTAGCAACAACAAAAAAATAATTTATTAAAATTTTTTTACAGAATGAACAAAAAGAAGTCATTAGTAAATTTCGCACAGGAAAAATAAATCTGCTTATCGCTACCACAGTGGCAGAAGAAGGTCTGGATATTAAAGAGTGTAATATCATTATTCGCTATGGTCTCGTCACTAATGAAATAGCCATGATCCAGGTACATTCAAATACCTCTAATATGTTGTTTTTTTAAATTTTGTGTTCTTATTTTCATTGTTTTATTTTAGTAAAAGAGCACACGTAGTTTTTAAAAATATAGCTGTTTTCCTACTGAAAGAGAAATCATTTTACAGTATACATAAATATTGAATTATGTTGTATACCTGAAACTAGTATGTTATATGTCAGTTATATGTCAATTATACCTCAATAAAAGCAAAAAGAAATCTTGAAGAGCTGTGCACTACTGCCTTTTATATTATTGTTTAATTCATATGACAACTAGATATCTGTTATATTTTTAAACGACAACTCTTCTTTGGTTGTTATTTCTGAGTCCTAAGACTTTTTTGGGAACATGACACTGGCCCCATCTGTAAGAGTCAAAATAGGCGTCTTTATTCTCAAGATGTCTCTGAGCCCCCAGCTGGACCAGGAATCTGAAGCATGGCGTCCCACAAATGTCTGACAAAGTAACATGCCAAACCTTAGGGAGCCCTGCTGTTTCTGCGTTTTCCTCCCTTATTCTTTCAGCTTTTGTATGTTTGAAATTTTTCATAATTAAATCATAGTGGACAGAGTGGAGGGCAGACATATACATGCAAAAAGAAAAAAATAGTGAAATGTCCCAGTTTTTGTTTAATTTTACTTTATCTCTTACCCACACTATGGTAACAATATAATTGTTACCTCTTGTTGAGTATGCACAGGAATTGTGCTGATTAAGACATATAATATTCTTCCTATAAAATTAACTAAAGTATTTTTTTTTAATACTTTAACTTGCATCCTCAAGTGGAAGGCAAGTCATAGAAGACCAAGATTACCAGGCAGCCACCAAATTAAGAAGTAATTGTATTTTAGGAGTTGATTTGTTAGTCAGTTATTATTACTCAGAATGCATTTTTCGTGAGAATAATCTTATAGTTGGATTCCTGGGCCAGGCCACAGCACACAATTTTCTGTTACTCAAAATTTATTACCATGTTTAGCATGTTTTCATGAGAGAATGTGCTCAAAATCCATTGGAGGATGTTAGAAACAGATCGCACTTTCCACAGCCCTGGTGTCAAGGTGAGAGACTACTGGCAGGGAGTGGGGCTCCCCTAGTCCAAATCACTGATAATGGTTCCCAGGGTTTGAAAGATGGGCCCTAGGGAACAGAAAGACTGGACAAGGTGGTATTGTGTGGTTGAAACTTTTGAGAGCTGGTGTGGGGACCTAACTATCATCACTTGAGAACATTCATTAAATGCATTTGAGTTTCAAATAGCCAACTTATAAAGAATGGATAATAACTAACTTTACTGAGAATAAGGAGCTCATTGGAAGGCTAGGACACTAGGACACAACAACTGTCATTCCAGAACAAAAATGGGAGCATTCACAGCAAGGCATAGCCCTTCATTTATATGATTTCTCTATGTTCTCAGGCCCGTGGTCGAGCCAGAGCTGATGAGAGCACCTACGTCCTGGTTGCCTGCAGTGGCTCAGGAGTGGTTGACCGTGAGACAGTTAATGATTTCCGAGTGAAAATGATGTATAAAGCTATAGCCCGTGTTCAAAATATGAAACCAGAGGAGTATGCTCATAAGGTATTGTTTTTGGCCTTCTGGATAGTTTTCATTTTTAAATGGTTGCATGTGGTTGCCATTGATATCTTTGTGGCTGAGTCTCCAGACAGAAACTGTGCTGAAGTATAAGTTCCAGTTTGATGAGCTATGCTTAGTCTAGATTCACACATAAAGAACCAAGATCCATAGAGTGCAGAAATTGTCAGGGAAGCCTTCTTGTGGAACCATCATAAACTTTGATAATATAAATTTAAGCTGCCCTTGATCTGGAAAGACTAGTGTAACCCACTCATTCAGCCTATCCTGATAATTTTGGTTTGGGTCAATCTGTTTGTACAGGCACATTTCTTTTTTTTTTAATTCCAGAAATATTTATGAAATGCCTCCTGTGTGTCAGGAAGCATTCTAAAAAACAGAGAACATGATGACAAACAACACGGATAGACCCCTGCTGCATGAAGATTACATTCTAGTGTATATGGTGAGATTTGAGGAGGAGAAACAATAAATAGAAATGAAGCAAGAAATAGAGATTAGTGCTGGAGATTTTTGCCCCTCTATTTCCATATGATTTACTATTTTGAGGATGATGTGGGAAAAGTCACTAGAAGGGTACTTTAGATTGAGCAGTTGGGGAAGGCCTCGTAGAGGGAGTGACACTAAGGCTAGATCTGAACAAAAAGAAAATATACATATGTCATCTAGCTGCATCTCAATTTACTAACATAGAGTTAATTTGAGTAGTGAGAAGACTACAGTGAAGGAAAAAGTATTTCTACAATATTTCAGGAAATCCCCCATACCACTGAATTAAAGACTGTAAGTACTATAATAGCAAACAATCCATTTAGAAGAAAATTCACACCCTTGCATATGTGTGTGAATGTTAGTTTCTTAACATTGGAATTGGCTCTTTCCTAAATAGAGTTTCACGAAAGGGATGCTTTCAAATTGGTGTGCATTTTGCTGTAACCAACTCCAAGGTTTCCTGGCCAGGTTTCTACACAAACTTATATTTTAAAACCCCCTTGAATATAAGGCAAACCAAACATTTTCTGGTGTCAAATCAAACATTTGTGGCCAAATAATGCCACTAGAAAGTTATTGCCTTATATTTAATGTCCTCGATGAATAAAATCAAGTGGATGTTTTCAAAAATTGATGTTTTAAGACGTTGTAATGGGTAAAGTCTAGAACAATCTCTGGAGTTTATGAGTCTATTTTTTCTAAATAATTTCTAGAATAAGACAATCCTTTTGGGGGCCCCAGAATGAACTACGTTTTTAGTTCTCCTTTGGCTAAGTGATCTGCTCTCCTAAAACTACTCCAGGTGAATGAACTCAGAGAAGAAATGGCAATGATATGGGGCACATGCCACTCTGCTCAAAGCCTTCAGCAGACATTGCTATTAGTTTACAGCACTCCTTTCTTCTGATGTGAGAATCACTCTCATTTACTCAATGTTCAGGCATCTACAAATAAATGGTTAGAGTTGACACATTGGTGAGGTTTATTTTCCATATTTTATACAGAATTTATACATAACTGAAAGCTTCTTAAAATGAAGATCGAAAACGTTTTCCCTGGCATCAACCCAACTTTTTCTACATTATTACATTTTATTTGGACTTAGACTGATGTAGCTGTGCCTTTCATATATTTATTATAATTTAAAAAAATTTTTCGCTCCTCTGTTTCCATATGCTTTACTATTTTGAGATAATCTTTTTGTTTCTGATGTCCTGGTTACATATCCATACATCGGCCTTGGGTTTTGCTTTTTTTTTTTTTTCTTGTCACACTCATAGACATCTCTTAGTTGCCTACATATATGAGATCCTTTGCCAAATCATCTTTTAATCAGCTCACTAAACCACAAATTATCTTGCGAGAACAACCTAATTAAACTTTTAGAGAACAGAATACTTCAATTTATTATATTGTTAAATTTACTTAGGAAATTAGTCTTTATAATTCTCTGGTTAAACTATTCCTTAGTCCATAAGTTTGCTTGCAAAGTTTTGTTCTCTTTTCTGTGTTGAATATGGCTGCCTGAATCAAGGCCTAAAATATAAAGGCGAGAGCCAAGAAGTTGGGCCCTTCAGCTTTGTTCAGTACTGATGATTTATTTTTACTGAAAAGGTCCCACAGGTCTAAAGGAAAACATTGGTTTCTTCCATAATTTAATATAAATCTGTCATTTACAAGAGGTTCGGTTTGGAGGTAAATTATTCAAGAACCAGATTTTTCTACTGTGAAGTTGCATAGGTATGAGAACTGACCAGTCTCTAGTTCAAGTTTTGTATCTCTCATACGCTAGATTGTTTCTGTTATGAAATAAGTTTTGCCTCCAGTTACAGAGCCCAGAATACACAGCGTAAGGGCCTATTCTCCCACATAATGAATGTGAGCAATCTAGATTTATATGATAGCTCCATGATGTCATAAGGATCCCAGGCTTCTTCTGTCTCTCTCTTCTCTGTCCTTTTAGTATTTGGCTTCCATTTTCAAGGTCAAAGATAGCTTTTAGAGTTTCAGTTGTCACTTGCTCATCCTAGGCAGAAAGGATGAAGAAGATGGAAAAAGCAAAAAGTACACATGCCAGCTATCTAATATATAAGGAACCTTTCTGGAAATACCATTTAACATCTTCTTATGTCTCATTGACCACTGGCCTGGAAATATAGTTATTTAACTCACATATTTTCACCCAGAATAAAATTGTAGTTCTGTTCTTCGGAAGAATGGATAGTGGATGGGAAACTAGTAGTTTCTGCCACAGATGTGAAAAGAGGTTATTTCTCTAAGAAGATTTCACTAAAATAGTGAAGGGTCTGGAAATTATAACATATGAGAAACAATGAAAGAAACTGTGGGTATAAGAGAAGACTATGGCTAATGTAGTAACAGGGTTTAGTTCTTTAAAGAGATTCATAATGAAGAAAGTTTAGATTTGCTTTGTGAGAGAATTAAAACTAGTTTGGGGAGGTAGGTAGAGGGAGAGTTCTTTTGTTGAATATTGCCAAGGACTTTCTCACAAAAGAACTTTTCTAAAATAGAATAGGCTCTTTTTTGACGGTTCCATATTTCCCTTATTACAGGAAGGTTTATATACTAAATTCTTTGTGGGCCATTGCTTCATTATTTTTATTTCTAGACGCTAGGCCAAAAGTATATTTTCATAACTATCTAAAGTCTCTGAATTCAAGGAGACTTACATAAGTGAAACTATGAAAAAAATTGAATGTTTTTTTTTTCGATGCAGATTTTGGAATTACAGATGCAAAGTATAATGGAAAAGAAAATGAAAATCAAAAGAAGTATTGCAAAGCATTACAAGGAAAACCCATCATTAATAAGTTTCCTCTGCAAAAATTGCAGTGTGGTTGCCTGCTCTGGAGACTATATCCATGTAATTGAGAAGATGCATCATGTTAATATGACACAGGAATTCAAGTAAGTCCAGGAAGACTCAATTTTACGTTTCTTTATAAGGTGTGAAGCATGTTGTATTGCAAATGTACTTCCAAAATAGTACAAATTAAATTTATTATTTTTCAAAACTTCCTTTCTTTTAGCCCCCTAATTATATCTCTATTTCAAATGTCTGTTTTTCAAATATACTGCACTGAGGCAGGAGGGAGAAGTATAATACCTAAGACTATTTTGATCCAAAACACATCACTTTGTGTATTCTTATATTTGCTCTCAAATTTTTGAACAACTTAAGTCTAGTTAAAATAATCAACTGACTTGAAAGAAGGCACTAAAGCAGATGCCCCTTGAGAGGTGTGTATGGCAAAGGTGCATGTGCCTAAAGCTTTGCAGAAGCAGGAGGGAGAGAAGGAATGAGGTGTGGGATAATGCATTCACGTGCATGAGCTTCAAATTCAACAACCTGCACCCATGGGCTGCGTATTTGTCCTTTGCGAATTCTCAGGGATGTTTCTTACCCCTTGGTAATTTTAGGGAACTCTACATTATGAGAGAAAACAAAGCACTGAAAAAGAAGTTTGCAGACTATCAAACAAATGGTGAGATCATCTGCAAAAACTGTGGCCAAGTGAGTAAACTGCTGTGGGTTTATTCTTACTTTGACCAAAAGGAATTCTTAATTGAATGTGCATTTATTTTTAACTCTTGCTCTCTCTTTTGTTTTCCAGGCTTGGGGAACAATGATGGTTCACAAAGGCTTAGATTTGCCTTGTCTCAAAATAAAAAATTTTGTGGTGGTCTTCAAAAATAATTCAACAAAGAAACAGTACAAAAAGTGGGTAGAATTACCTATCACATTCCCTGATCTTGACTATTCAGAATATTGTTTGTTTAGTGATGAAGATTGACATTTGGGTCAAGATTCTTTTAAAAATATTGTTAACAACATTTAATATGATTTGATTAATGTTTTAATTATGCTAAAGAACTGATATAAGAATAAAATAATTGCTTTACTCTGAGATGAGCTGTATAGAGGACAACAGTATATCATGCTTCCGATTATTCATTTTGTTTATGGACAAGGGTAAAGAAAATCTATGTATAATACTCATTAGTGTGGAATAGTAGTGTGGAGTACTGTTGAAAAAATGTTGGTGTACAAAGAAGAATATGAGATACTAATTTAGTCTTAATTTTCAGAATAAAATTAAGCAAATCAGTTCACCTTTCTGAACCAGCCTCCTTATTGGCGAAATGGTTATAATATTATCTGCCTTTGCTTTTATTAGTTTTCTATTGTTGCATAACTAATTACCACAAACTTAGTGTCTTAAAACAACACCCATTTATTATTGCACATGTTGTATAGCTCAGAGGTTTGAGGAGAGTCCTCTGCTTAGGATCTCAGAAGGCTGAAATCAAGGTGTCAGCCAGATGATGCTTTCATCTGGACCACTCAGGATGAATCACTTCCAAGCTCTTTCAGGTTATTGGCTGTCATTTCCTTGCAGCTGTGGACTGGATTCCTGTTTTCTTGCTAGCTGTCCACTGGGGATCCCTCTGAGGTCCTAGGGCTGCCCTCACCACATGACTCTTTCATAGCACAGCTATTGCTTCTTCGAGGCAGGCCAGCAGGAGAATCTCTCTCTATATAGAAGGCCTAACTAATATGGAAGTCTTAACTATTATCACAGGCATGACTGTTATATCCTATTCACAGGTCTTGCTCACATTCAAGGTGAGGGGATTTTTCAGAGCATATACCAGCTGGCAGAAATCTTGGAGGCCTCTTAGAATTCTGCCTCCCACACCACTTGCCTAGTCTTTGTCACTAAGTGGTATATGTATACATATGAAAGCACTTTGAAAAATATGAGGCACCATAAAAGGCAAGATATTGTTTAAAAGCAGCATCAGGTGGCTTAAGGCTTACTTCCTCAGCTTTCTCTCCAAGAACATAAAACTATTCCCAAGAATTTCCTAACAACAGAAATAGGGGCTAAACCCAGATGGTTGTTAATATGTATAAAATGCTGGTGTCCAGGGTTCACATAGGATGTAACAAGGACCAGATACTGGAAGTTATTAGAGAATAAAGAAAAAATGTCTACCTTCACTCCTCCCCAGCCTTGGGCAGAAGAGTAACCTCTTTTGTGGCTGTGACATTTTCAGTTTTCTAAACTAAGCATGACCATTTGGAGATGGATACAGGGTCCAGCACTTCAGAACATTCTCTCAGTAGACAAGTAGCCTCTACTGGCATAGAAAAGCCACATGATTGAGGCAAAGCCACATTGACCATTTTAACCCACACTTATCCAGTCTCACAGATGTTCCATTCCATGGAAACACTTACCTCCTATGACTAAGAAGAAACAAAATGTTGGAGGGGACAAAAAGAAACATCTTCCATGGTTTCGATGGATTAATTAAATTCAATCTAACAATAGCTTTGAATCTCAATAATTCTTAAGCAACGATGAATATTGACCAATCAGAATTATTGGGAATGCAAGAGGGTAAAAAAAGATTGTGGTTTTCTTAAAATACTTTTTAAAACTCCAGCTGACACTACTTAAAGTATTACTGTGTTGTAAAATATTTTGGAAACTATGCAAGAAACCAAATGCATAAAATAGCTAACTGTACTACTGTAACATATGTAAACTGTTTTAAGGTGTCAATAAATATCAGATTTTTTGGTCTATGTTTTCCAATTTTAAAATACATATTTCAAATAGTGTACTTCTTTAAAATTTTAAAATACGTGTTTCAAATAGTATAAAACTTAATATGAGATGGTACCTGAAAACTCAAACTATGGTGCATATATTTCATTCAAAAACAATTGTAATAATTATAACATTTTGATCGATTGTTACTGAACAGTTTAATACTCATATTTTAGGGTCATTTATAGAATATGCTCATGACATGTAGTCATCAGCCTGGAGTTGGAATTCCTGAGTTTTAGTCCCCACGAAACTTCTGTTAGTTGGGTGACTTTGAGCAACCTCATCTCACAGGGCCTCTGTTTCCTCTCCTGGAAAAGAAGAGATTGGATTAAATCATATAGAAGGTCTCTAACAACTGTAGCATTCTCTTAGTCCATACTTCTGGATCTTTGGCTACTTTCATTTTAAGACCTTGTCTAATACTTGCTGAGTACATTACACATGTGAAGGTAGCTCATATTTGTTAAAGGACATTGCAGGGGTCTCACAGAACAAGTTATACTGGCTAGAGTCATGTGTCTCAAGGCAGGTTTGAAAGGCCTGAAAGGGTCAGAGAATTAGGGAACAACATGCATTTCTAAGCCAACCTTGTAGATATGAAATATGAAATTTTATACCAAAAGTTTGTGAGCATTTCAGACCATATGAAATTAAAATACAGTAACTTATAGTTTATACAAATATCTTGAATGTAAGGCAATGAGGCAACTCAAAAATGAGTAAGAAATGGTTTCCTAAAGGACAATTAGTACGTCATTAGCAATTGCTGATGAGAAACGCTATAAGAGGTGAATACTTTTCTCTCTGCAATTTAATACTCCCCACACAGAGCATTATGCCAAAGGGAGGGGAGGTTTCTGGTATTGTTTCCCATTCAGCTGAACATTAAACCAAAGAGGATTTGGAGTCTCATCATTGTTGCTTTTAAGGTGTAAGAGACTCTGAACGCACTTATGTGCTGATGGGAAAGAACAATAAAGAGCAGAAAATACTTGTAGTGTTCAACCCTAAATGAATCACTGATTGGGTATTATTGATATTTTCTACCAAATTCTCTCACTACAGTTTTTTATGGTCACCTTGATCCTTTCTTAAATGTGGGCCTTTGCACATGATCAGAAGCCTTCCTTTGCCACATCTTCAGCAGATATCCTTTATGTTCTTCAAAGACAAAACTCATGTGTCACTTCCCAACATCTAGCATAGCTCATGGTTTCCGAACTAGAATAAAGAGAACATACAGGAAAAGTAATGTTCACTAACTCTGAATAATAAAATGCTTGTTTCCAAAATCTGGTAAACAATTGCATGAGTCATAGCAATAAAGAAAAAGCAAAAAAAAAAAATTATTTCTTTCTAAGTGTTAGAAAGTTAATTTGGAATGACTATAAGCTCCTGTCTTCTTAAGTTTATGAAATTCTCCTTAATTAGTCGTGCTAGAGATACAGTTTTATATCTTTGTTTTTATGGAAAGAATGTGAAGTGAGACAAATGTGGATCTGGACCCTCACTGGTTTTGTGACTTGGGCAAGTCACTTAATCTCCCTGAGATTATAAGGAATTAATACCAACCTTGAAGGACTGTCATGAGAATTCGGATATTGCATGGAACACACCTAGCAGTTGGCACTTAGTAGGAATTAATGTGTGGGATATAGTAGTAGGAGTTGACAGAAAAGCAGCAGCAGTTGTAGTACAGCTGTAGGTATAGCATGACAATAGGAAATTCTAGAACTACGTTTGATAGTAAGTAGGATATATACAGTATTGGAGCTCCCACATTCAATATTTAGCCTAGAAGGCTTATCACAAGAAATAAGTAGTAACTGTAATAAAACATGATCACTATGAATATGTATTTAGTGTACCTAGAGGGAAGATCTAATGTCCAGATTTTCTATAAGCACAATAGAAACGTAAGTATCAATATAAATATACAGATCAACTGGCTATAGGACTTAACTAGGCTTACTGTGTAGATACAAATTTTATTTAGATTCTGTCTTCATCTTCAAGAATGGTTAGCAATTGCATGAAAAAGGAGAGAGGGAGAAAAAGAGAGAGAGAGAGAGAGAAGAGATTGAGATTAGGCTGTAGCACATAGTAATTTTTGTCCAGTATAAATGATGGTTGTCTTTTATTCATTTCTAAATCTTTAAACTCAAGAGAGAGAGAGAGAGAGAGAGAGAGAGAAGAGATTGAAATTAGGCTGTAGCACATAGACAGTAATTTTTGTCCAGTTTAAATGATGGTTGTCTTTTATTCATTTCCAAATCTTTAAACTCACCCCCCCACCCCACAGGTCATAGGTTATAAAATATGAAATATATATGGAAAGCATTGCAGATATTCTTTATAATTTTTAGATATTTTCCACACAGTAAAGTCCCTCTTTACATGAAATTAATTATTACATAAACATGTTATTTGAAGATGAAATTGGACATTGGTGAGCTCTATTAATTTATACTTTTTAAATCCAAATTAATGGCCAAATCCTAGGTGGGGGTTGTAAGTAGAGGGACAGACTGGTTATAGGAAGTAACATTTAACCATACAGTTGTTAGAATACATCTGGGCCACTATTTAAGCTGAATATATCTGATGAAGTATATTATTTTTTGCATACTAATTTTAAAAATGGACATTATTTTGACACTATGAAAGAAATTTAAACATATAAATAATATATAAAAATATATATTAAAAGGAGGGCTCCTATCCTTGTATATACATATATAAAATAACCAAAATGAGCAGTATTTCATCTTAAACATCCCCTTCAAAACTTGTCTTCTGTTGTCCTTTATGAACACATGTATTTTATTGTATACACATAGGATAAATAGATTGTTGAATGGTTAATTCTTTCATTTTCAATCTCTTAACAGGTCATGGAAATTATCATAATTCATCAAGCTATAAGAATTTTTATAATACCAAAATCACGAAAACAACTGATTTAGTGTTAACTTGAACATGGTTGCCCACCTGAGATTAATATCAATTCAGTACCAAGGTTTCTACTTCTAAATTTACTTTTTTCTTAGCGTTTGACCAAGGTTTATAATTTCATGACTTTGCACAATTCGTGCTAAATAACCAGTTGAGTTCAAAATTGTGACCTATAACTGTCAAGGATTTATCTCATTTGACAAGTGAATCCCAAATTTTTCCCTAAAACATTGATATTTTTTGTTTTTAATTAGACTAAATAGTTTTTTGTTCTTTTGAAAGCCACTAACCTCATGGGAAAAGATCAGTTAAGGTTCTCTAAATTTTGTAATAAACAACTTAGTTCATTATTTTATTTATATTAATACTCATTTATTTTGAGATAAAATGTAAAACTCAAATAACAACAAGAAATAAACAACCAAAAAATTTCATTTCCTGTGACATGTGTTCCACTTAAGAGAGGTAAAAGAAGAGAAAATGAAGGTAAAAACAGGAATAAATAGAAACAAAATGAAATAGAAGCAAAGAA